TGTGCCACAGCTGGGATCAGTTCTCCAGGAGAACTTAGTGGCTGCCATTTTTGTTTTTTACTACATACACCTGCAGTACTGAACAGCTATAGCTCAGTTCACTCTTAGTTATTCACTAAACAGCTGGTGGCGAAAGCCATCCAAGTTTCTTCAGCAAGATCTCCTAAATAGGAAGACCAAGGATGTCATTGTTTTCTTGGAAAGTTTAGAAAAATAGATGATTTGTCATCTTCCTTCCTTCCTTCCTTCCTTCCTTCCTTCCTTCCTTCCTTCCTTCCTTCCTTCCTTCTTCCCTTTATTCCTTCCTCCTCCCTTCTTCCATCCTATCCTCCCTCTCTTCCCTCCTTCCCTTTTTCCCTTCCTTCTTTCCTTCCTTCCCCCTTTCTTTGGCAGTACTTCAGTGCCATGTGCTTGCTAAGCTGGTGCTCTACCACTTGAGCCATATCCCTAGTCCTGCTTTTTGCTGTTTATTTTGGAGATAGAATCACTCAGATTTTTCTGCTGGATGCCTAGCCTCGGTGCTCCAGGTCTCAGCCTCCCAAGTAGCTAGGATTTTCCTATGTGAACTAGCAGCACCTGGCTCCGTCTTCCATTCTATTAACATCTCCTAGAGACTTTACAGTATACCCGTTCCAGGGTCAGTGGCTGAGATTACAAAGACAAATACAAAATGCCATATTGTCCCTGCCTCCATTAGCTTAGAAATCTAAAGAAGTATCTAAGCATAGCTTTGCAATTAAACCAAACTGTAAGAGAATTATTCATTAAATTAAAAACAACACACACACACACACACAATCCAAGAATGGAAGGAATAAACAAAATTTATTTTCAGGGTATTTTATTATTGTCAGGACACTATCCAAGGGGAAGGCCTGAGCAACACTGGGAAACTATCTTTGTAAAGTGACAACACCCCATGGGACTGCACCATGAGCAGGTTGCAGAGCTCAGGCTTTGCTTGAATCAGAGGGTGAGTTGACTGGAAATTTAGGATGCCAAAGTTACCTGTGGATTTAGACAATTCTTATTTAAATTCCTAGTTTTGTTAAATGAAGAAATTGTGATTAGGAGGCAGAATGTGATGTGCCACAATCACAGTGAGTAATTAATACTTCTAGCTGAAGACGAGGTCTCCTCACTCTAACCCAGCATTTTGTATGATGTTCTTAGATCACCAGAGAGCAGCCTCAGAGATCTGACTGCTAAGCTCAAAGACCTAGTTCTCCTGGTGATCCATTAACCACTGGGGATCTGGTGTTCAGGATGGCAGGTTAAGCAAGCAATGATTTCACTCCCAGAATCAAATCTACATAATAAAATAACCATGCTTGAGAATGATGAGGGGCATTGGACTACACCTGAGATGTAGCTGGTAATAAAAGATAAAGACTAAGTGGAGGTTAAGCAGGAGGCTGGCATCCTAATCATAGCTTATAGTTCTGCCTCAGACATATGGATGCTTCCTACTGAGCTCTGTTGGAATTGGGGGACAAAATATGACCAAGGGAATCAACAGGGCCAATAAGACATAGGACAGCCAGGAAGGAGGCACCTACAAAATCTCCTCTCCTTTTATAAGTGCACAGTCACCAAATTCTTGACCAACTCTTCCCTCCCCAGGGGGAAAAAAATCAGCAAATGGAAAAAATCTGTAAGGAGTTGGATGCCGATAGCTCATCTATAATCGTAGTCAAGAGGCTGAGGTTTGAGGACTGGGGCCAAAATAAGTAGGAAAGACTGTGTGACTCTAATTACCCATCAAAAAATAAGCTGAAAGTGGAGCAACAGGTTAAGTGGAAGAGTAGAGCACCAGCCCTGAGTTCAAGCCCCAGGACTGGCTCTAACCTTTCGCTTTATCTCCACCAGGGACAGAAGCAGAGAACGGAGCCCAAAGGCTTGTCCACTGAAGCCTTTAGTATAACATGCTGAGCTGCAAGTAACAGAAACCCAACTCAATGCAACATTAGCAATGAAGAGATTTTATTGGCTTGTGTATCAAAAAAGTCCAGAGGTAGGGCCACTGTTAGGTAAGGCTTGAACCTGCACTTCAATCATTTCACCTGGTACCTGATTTCCTTCTGCCTCTCAGCTCTCCCTTTCATGGCGGTGTCAGTCTCTTATTGAGAGTGAATACTACACAGCCCTAGTCTCACTGGCCACTTCTTTCCCACCCATCAGTGAGTGTGATTCTAAGAACTACCTAGCACTCCCTGAAAGTCTCAGCATTTGCTCTGACCACACAGACCTTGCTTGCATGGGTCACACCTGGCTGTGTCACAGAAGAGAAGCCAGAGAGGTGGAATGTGCTGTTCGTACAATCCAGACTGAGTGTCCCACTCACTCCCAGAGCTTGTAAGAGCCATCTCTGCCAGGTTATTTGAACCCCTAACAAAAAATGAGGGACTCTAGGAAAGGAAATGGAAGAACATGTGTTGAAGACGTAACCAGACACCCACCATACTGCTCATTGCATAGATGAGTGATGGAGAGAAGAAGGAGAAGCCTTATCCAAGATGGTGGCTGAGCTGAGCCCACAACTTAGCCTGGGCATGCACATGGCCTAACATACCCCGTATTGAGAGATGATCAATGTGAGGTCAGATCAATTGATTTCTCCTTAACCCTCTATGAACTCCTCCATGGAAGCATCAGATTTCAAATACTTCCACTGTTCCAGGTCAAAGAAAAACCAATATGGACCCCAAGGATTTGTGCAGCCACAAGGACCTCCAGCACTTCTGCTCCTCCTCTTAGGGCTCCCACAGAACCAATGAGCTCGTGCTATTTTTAAGAGGAAACACTGCATTTTTGATGTGCAAACATTACTGCATATTCATGCACTCAAAAATCTAATTTTAGCTGCAAGAGGCTTCATTATAAGATGCTCACATAATTAAGCAGCTTTCTTCCTAGGGTTTAGGAGCCTGTCTATTCTTCTCTCTCATTTACACATCAGTGGGATTATCAGAATGTGTTTTAGTTTTTTAAAATTATATATTTTGGTTTTTCCAAATTGATCCACCATAGGAGATAAACTCCATGAAAATTGCATGTTTTAACACAGGTCTGTAGAACTGCACAGTCTTGCTATTAAAGCTGTGATCAGTAGACACTCTGGGCTCTGCTGTTCTGTTCTGCACAGCCACTGGTGCATTTGTCATGAGCCTTCTCCTCAGAGAGGTCTGTCTTTACACTTAGGCTGGACAGGACAGTATCCTCTTTACTGAGAAAGTCAGAGCTGTGGTGAGCTCTAGCTAGGAGACAACCACATTGGACTTTTCCAAAACAGGGCAGGCAGATTCCAGGTATGTCTCACCCCCTAATGAGGCAGATCTGGGATGAAGGCTGTTTTGGGTCAGCAGCCAAAACAGTGAATACACAGCCATGTGAACTGAGAGGACAAGAGGCCTCTGGTCCTCCTTCAGCCCTCCCCAGAATCTAGATTTCAAGGGCAGCGCAGTGGTCAGGCTTGGCTGTAGAGGTCTGGTTGTTGCTAGGCTGTTCCTACTCCACACCTTTGTCCTTTCCAGCCTCATGCCTTCAGTCTTTTCTGGAGCTCATCCGGACGGTCTGCAAAAGGGCTGTGAGGCCGGTCTCAGAAAAGGCCAGTCTCCCTCTACTCCAGTAGTCTGATGGATGCCAGGCCTACTCCCTTGAGAGTCTAGGTGTGTTCTGTGAAGTGGGCATGACCCAGCTCCTCTCCAAGGTGATGTAACTCCTGGTGGCTCTCATCTGCAACCTGCAAGGGGGCGGGGCACAGCCTCATCAGGGGCCATCGCATCCTATTATGGAGTTACCTTGAGCTGATCAACATCAGCTGAGATGTGAGTGTTCCCAGCATCAGCCGAGCTGAATTATACAGAGGGAGGATCAAAACCAACCTAGCATACAAGGAAGGACTTGGAGGATCCCAGAGGCAGAGATGATCCAGAAAGCAGCTCTTCAGTGCCCCCACTCCACCAGTGCTCGGGGGAAGGGACTTTCAGCCCCCAGTGCTGAGGGTTAGGGTATTTCAATGTTCTGCTCTCCCTAACCGTTCCCTCTGTTTGGCAGAGGGAGGTCTCCCTGATGAGCATTGTCCACTCTCCCGGCCTTAGGCTGGCCAAGCACGGCTGGGCTGGCACCGAGGCCCACATGGAGAGTGACATTCTCTTCTGTGTCCTGTGCCCGACTATGTCCTGACCACTCCCTCCTTGCTCCCATTCCACAATGTGGGGATGCCCATACTTCACTCTCTATCCACCTGTTCTAAGCACCCAGAATCATCCCAGTCTCTGAAGCTCTGCATGCGTGGTTCTCTATCCCCTCTTTTTCTCTTTTGCTGAGATCATTCTTAGACCCCTTGAGACTACACAGAAGCTGCAGTGAGCTACTTTCCATACCCTGGGCACAGTGGCCATACCCGAGGCCACCCAGCACACACTCCTGAGATGGCTTCCACAGATTCACTTGTGACAGCCATTCTTCTAAGATGGGCCAGCAGTGTTGGAGGGCCCTTCTCCTTGATGAAGGGAATGGGCAACATGGCAGGTGCAATGGCAGCCACAGAGAGAGAGAGAGAGAGTGACAGGGAAGGCTGTGTCACCAGAGGTCAGACTGCAGCTTCACCCAGCATGCTCTCCTTAGCAACCAGCATTGGGTAACAGAGAGCAGGAGCTTGTCCACATGTGGCACAAACAGCATCAGGGGTTTCCAAGATACAGCCATCTAACATCTCCCAATGCGCTTCCCTCCACTGGTATGCATCCCCTAGGGTCTTGGGCTCCCATGGAAGTCCAGCCTACACCTTGCATCAAGGGAAGGCTGTGTGTCTCCAGCTTCTTCCGAAGAAGATGCCAGGCCACGGGCTCACTGGAGGATCACCTAGGCAGGGAGAGCTGGAAGGGAGACAGGGCTGTGCACAGATCTGGAGCTGTGGGTACTGAGGCGTATACTGGCCAGGCAGGGGGGCAGAGTCCACACTGCTCATCACAGAGGAGAGAGGCAGGGATGCAGCTTTTGTAGTGTCTGGGAGTCCCCAGCACACACATTTATGGGATGTCATACCTGTGGTCAGGCCACATGGCAAAATGGCAACAGTGAGTGAGCCCACCTCCATCCCCACGGTCCTCACTGCTTCAGAGTACAAATGCCAGCCCCTCCCCAACATTCTAAAGTCAAGTTCCCTGGCGAGCAAGTCTGTGCTGTGGCTGGACACTGTTTGCACAGCCCAGGGCTAGTGTGGACACACATGTGCGAGAAAGACGAGAAGACTCTGGGAGCACAGAGCAGCAGGCTCCAGTGTGGTGTGTGCATCTGTGCAAAGCTCAGTGTGTCTGGCACACCCTGAGTGGATGCCTTAGGCACGTGGACACGGGCACTGTGAGTGTGGGTGATACCTAAGTGTGTTTGAGAGCGTGTGAGTGTCTGGCTAGGAATGCACGTCCATCTGTCCTGTGGCGTGTTTCTGTCTAGACAGGCTTGGCGTCCAGGTCTCCCTGCACTGGAGGCAGCGCGTGAGTGAGCGTGCTCTCCCCCTTGCACACTGTGCACAAGCAGCCACAAGGTCCCAGGGCATGGATCAGGGGCAGCCCCGGGGTGTGACTGTGATTTCAGCAGGGTCAGGTGGCCCGGGCCAGGCGCCATCATCTGGGCACGTATTCCTGGGGCAGCCCAGTCCAGTTGTAGTCGCGCAGGGCCTGGTCCACCGTCCGGATATAGCCGTCGATCAAGTCCTTCATCTCGGGGGTGAAGGGCTCAGGGTCCTGCGGGCGCCGGCCGCGCCGCCGGAAGCTGCCCTCCTTGTTGTTTTCCACACAGAGCAGCCGCTCCTCGCTTACGGAGACATTGAGGAAGGCCACCATGTCGCGCAGCGTGGGCACCAGGCTACGCCGCAGCTCCTCGTAGTGAACCACCAGTAACCGCTTCCCATACTTGAGCCACTCCAGGACGTGGGAGGACCACCACGAGGCATAGGTGTTCACGAAGTCGGGCCATTCTGGGGCAGGGAGAGAAGGACTGCCGTCAGGGTTGCCTGTCTGGGATGCTGGCCTGCTGGCCTGCACCAGACCTGCTTAGGAGAGGCACGTAGCTAAACTTCTCTGCTTCCATTGCTCAGGTGTGGGCATGCGTGAGAGTGCTTTGGAGGTGAAGAGAGGAGGATTGAGAATTCTAGGTCAGCCTGCTCTACCCAGCAAGATCCTATCTCAAGAATTTCTACAATTGCCAGACACTCAGTGGCTCACACTTGAAACCTTAGCTATTCAGGAGGCTGGGATCTGAAGATCAAAGTTCAAATCCAGCCCAGTACATGAGACTCTTAGGTCACAATTAATCATCAAAAAGCCAGAAGTGGAGCGGTGGCTCACATGGTAGAGAGCCAGCCTTGAGTGAACAAGTCAAGCAAGAATGCAAGGCTTTAAGTTCAAGCCCCAGTACCTGCACACACAAAAAGTTTCCATAACTGAGTTATTGATACATCTCAAATACCATGAATTGACTGCTCTCAATTTCACAATGGCCCTAAGGGAAAGGACAATTCTGTTTTCCCACACGAGGAAAGTAAACTCTATAGCTTGACACAACTAGTCTAGGGTTACAGGGCTTGCAATAGACACAGGAAGGATCTAAGCTCCTGCCTGACTGCAGGGACTGTTCTCTTGTCTAAGTCCCTAACCAGCAATTGTGGGGGACTGGCCTAGGTGGAAGGTGAGGGAGAAAGAGGAGGGCTGGAAGCCAGTCGAGGACACCAGTCAGCCCCAGCTGTTTTAAGGAGACAGGGTGCAAACCCTCCTGCCATAAGGCCTTGCAGTACTTCACCACTACTCTTTATTTCTGACTTAATTGACATTACTTACCACTGGACCTGAACCTCTATTATCCATTTCCCAAGTTAGACTGTACTGACTCAAGTGAAGGGACTCTAGCCACCCACCCAAGCACACAGTAGGACCTCAAGCCCTGGGGGTCCGCAGATGGACTCCATGCTTAAGGCTGCTGTGGGGAACAAGATCCAGAATCAGAAAACGTGGATGCTGTGGTCTGAATTTTTGCAGCCTGGTGCACATTTGTGTAGAGAAGTCCCAGTCCCCAGTACGGTACTATTCTGAGATGACGCCTTGGGTAGGTAACTGGGGTTAGATGATGTTGTAAGGATGGGGCCCTTGTGTTGGGGTTAGTGTCCTTGTAAGAAGAGATGCCAGAGAGCTGTGATTTCTGTCATGAGAGGACACAGTGAGAGGTGGCTGTCTGCATACCAGAAGAGCCTTCACCAGACATGACTCAGCAGGCAAGCCTTAGACCTTGAACTTCCAGCTTTGATTGCTTCCGCTACCCCACCTGATATTTTTCTGTGACAGCCTGAGCTACCTAAGAGGCAGGGTTTGAGACTTAGCCCTGCCACCTGTCCCTCAGGACCTCTGGTCAAGCTTGGCTACCATGTTCCCTGAGCTCATCAGAAAGCAGAGTAGATGGAAATTCACTGCAGGACACACTGGGGAGTCAGCCAGGGTAGGGCAAGAGGGCACTGGTGTTTTGGGCACAGAGTAGGTACAGCCCTTCTCTCATGGTCCCAGATGCCCCTTGAGGTGTAGGCACTGGTGCCATTTTATTGAGATGGACCCCAGTCCTATAGATGGGGGGAGGATGTTCTGCTGGGCACTAGTGGTTCCCATCTGGAATTCTAGCTACTCAGGAGGCTGAGATGTGAGGATCAAGGGTCAAAGCCAGTCTGGGCAGAAAAGTATGTGAGGCTCTGATCATGCATCAGGCCTTCTGGCACCACTTTTGAGTTGCTGCTGGGCTGGCCCCCACTTACCTTTGCTCTTCCAGTTGTGGTCAGGTGCATAGCCCAGGTGGCCTGCACACTTCCTGTTGAATTCAGCCACCAGGGACCTGTAGGGGTTCCGGATAAGCAGGATGGCCGAGTCGAACATCTCAATCTCCCTCCGGCCGCTCTCGTGGGTTTTCACACAGATCGTGCGCCGGCTCCGCCAGTGATCTTTCTCACCTTTGAAACCTGCCCAGGAGAAAAGAGGGATCCTGTGGAGGAAGGCACCCCGCTCCTACATGGACACCCCCACTGCCACAGCAGCAGTAGGGATCTGATGCTGACCTGTACCCCGAGGCAAAGCTGGTAATGGGGTGCCGAGAAACACCCATGGAGGGCACTGGGAAGACCTGTGGATGGTCCAGGAGAGGAGAAAAAAGGTCAAGAGAGATCTCTACAGGAGTGGTCTCTGTCCCAGAGCAAGTGAGACTAGGCATGCACCAGTGTGAGGAATGGTAGGCCTGCAAGAGAGCCCAGACACTTCTCCTACAGACTTGAGCGTCAAGAGGCAAAGAGCCTGGCCAGAATGGAGATGAATTCATGTATTTTGAGGTTTTCATAGAGATAATTTCATACAGATCATAAACGTGCGAGTTAACCCAGCCAGATGAAGAGGCTGAGGCTCAGAGAGGGTCTATGACTTCCTCCATTTTGTACCGCACCAGGGAAGCAGGCCTCTATGGGTCCTTATGAGGCCTGAAGTTTGCACTGCCTCTCATGGTCAGGGTCTTGCTTCATCCACGCATTGGAGCCTGGCCCTGAGGAGGCAGGGCCTGGTATCTACAAGTAGAGACCAGCCGCTCTGTAGCCTGTCTCCTTCCTTGTCCCCTGGTATAGCACTGGGCATTCAGAGTCTTCAGGACAACTGGTAAGAAGGCCAGCCCTTCCCCTGCCCCCTGTCTCCATCCATCCACATGGGCACACAGGACTCTACCGAGCTTGCGATGAGCTCACCGTGTCAGATTTTAAATCAGTCGTGAAGGAGAAGACCCTGACTCCAAGCTCACAGCTCACAGCCTAGTGGTGGAGTGACCAAGTAGAAAGGGAGAGCAGATGGGCTGGGAGGATGGGGGGGTTGGGAGTCGGGAGTGTCACATAAGGCATCCTGGAAAAATGTCACTAAGACTAGTCTCCAGGCCATGTCCTCATAAAGCCTATTCAGCAGGCTCTGGGAGACAGCTCCATTCATTCCACAAGCTTGTCTTAGGCATTAGGAAACAAAATGAATCCTCTCATCTGCCCATGAAGAGCTGGGCAGCATCTGAAGCTACAGCAAGCAGCAGGGACCCAAATACTGGAAAAATGCCAGTCTCTCTAACCTGGGAGTCTGTGTTTACACAGTGGAACTTGATGCGAGTTCCCAATTCCTCACTTCCTGTGCCACACATCAAAGGCCTCTGCTTTGCTTTGTTTTGTCCAACAGCCAGGGAACACTATGAAAAAGAAGAATGCCACCATCGGGCTGAGCACACCTGCGATCATGTGTTGCATGGCCCTGAGACAGAGGGTACCTCACAGGACTCCAGCAGTTGTGCAGCTCAGATCACATCCACCACCCATAGCAGGTTCCAGTCCCTGGAGCTGTCTTGTGAGTTTCGAATGTATGTGTCATCACCCTGCCAGTGCTCTGGGGTCACTGCCTACATCCAACCAGTTCTGTAAATCTTATGCTGAGAGGCTAATTTCTGCCGAAGCATCTCTGAGACAGTCATCACAACCCTTACAGCTGGGTACAGTCTTTGGATCCCTCTGTCATACAGTACCAAAGGAGCCAGTTGTGAGAATAAGGCAGGGGCCTTCTAGCTGGACCAGGTGGATAGATTGAGCACTGGAAGCACATTTAGTCAACCTTCCTATGTGCTGGCATCTCTCATCCTCGACTCCCAGTCTAGATGACTGGGGCCTACCATGGCTTTTTCCCAACCAGACCAAGACTATTATGAGTGAGAGCTCAAGTTCTGGAAGTTTCTGTTTCTTTAGATTACTTCTGCTAGTAGCATCTTTTCCTAAACCAAACTCTGGTTGAGAAATCCAGAGAAAGCGCTGTGACACTTGACAACAGACAAATAAATCTTGCCAAATTTAGATGCCACTTGACTCGTCTGCGGTTCTTCATTCTTAAACAGCACACAGGCTCGAGATATTTAAGTTAATTTACTTGGCATAATGAAGCCTCTCATTTCTACAAGGGAAAGATTAGAAATCATAAAACTCTTGAAGGTTTCTGGATCTATTTAAAGGAAATTGCATGTTGATGAGTTAGTCCTTGTTTTAAAAAATAAAATAAGGAATGAGCAGATTAAGTGAGATTCGCTCCTAATGATTAAGGGTCCTGAAAATTAAGGAAAATTCAAGAAATGTTTTGGAAGGGGAATGTGAGCAATAAGCCCTTGGCTTTGAATCTGGAACAGGCTCTATGTCCTACATGAAATGCTGTTCGACAGCGCTGACTGCCCCGCTCCCTGCAAGTGTGTCAGGAATACACATTGCCAGGCCTGCAGCAGCAGATGAGCTGAGGCAGACTCCAGGGGTGTGGCTTGGGAAGCTGTTCTAGAAAGCTCCAGGTCATTCTCACCAGGCGCACTGGTGCTTGGAGGAGGTGCTTAGAGGAGAGGACACAGTGGCCCCTGGAGGGCAACTTCACCCCAACTCAGAAGCTGGAAGCCATCACTCACCTTTGTTGTAGAGCGTTCCATCGAAGTAGTAGCTCCCGGTGTAGAAGCCAGTGGCGTGCTCAATGAGGTGCCTGGCCCATGTGTTCCCAGCTCCTGGGAAGCTGGACAAGGCCACAAACACCTGGGATTTGTGGGGCAGGAACCTCCTGTCTGTGCACCGGGTATCTGAAAGCCCAGAAGTCACCACCCAGTTACAACCCCACTTTAACCAGAGACCCGCTGCTGGGCTGCCTTCCATAGACACGGACTACCGAGGCTCCCATGTCACAGATGGGAACAGCGGGAGCTAGGAGGGAAAAGGGATTTGCTGCCTACACCTTGGCTGCATAGATTGGTAGCTGTCCGAAGAAAGTCCCATGACAACAGAAGTCACGTCTATCCTGCAGTGTGAGTGGGTGGGGTCAGCCCACTGGGGACATGCACACGCTCTGTTTCTATAACCATAGCCAAACCATGGCTGCTAGAGTAGCTACGGTAATGAGGGGGTGGCCGTGCCACGCTGTGCCACACAATGCAAGGGTGAGCTAAATGCAGGTGAGTACTCTATGTCTCATCTTTCTTCCCAGGGCTAGTGCAAGAAGCACATGAGAGCCTGGCATGGTACCTCATGACTGTAAACCCAGATGCTCATAAGGCAGAAACTGAGAGGATCATAGTTCAAAGCTCATGAAACTCTATCTCATCCAATAGCTGGGCTTCGTAGTGCATGCTTTTGGTCCCTGCCACATGGCCACATGGGAAGCTCAACAAGGAGAATCTTAGTCCAACTGATCTATGGATACATGGGCAAGCATATCCCATAAATGACTATGGCAAAAAAATAAGGCTGGGGGGATGACTCAAGTGGAACAGCATCTGCCTAGCAGTGTAATGTCCTGAGTTTAATCTCTTGTATTGCTAAATAAATAACAAATTAACTAAAATAATAAAATAAAAAAATCCCTAAAAATAAAAAGGGAAAGCAGCACAGGAAATCAGCAGAGGGCAGGCCCTAGTGGGAGCTCTCCTCCTTCCTTGCCTGTACTTGCACACCCAAGGCTGGCTGGGGTGGACCCGATACTCATACAAAGGTGGACACCAGAGCTAGAGGCCCCACGGCCTGGTCCTGGGCTGCCCAATGCCTGGCATCGCTGCCCTTCTGCTTACCCACTGACACCATCATCCCCACAGAGACTCAGCTTCTTTTGTTGTTGTTGGTGGTGGTGGTGGGGATTAGACTTAGGGCCTGGGCACTGTCCTTGAGCTCTTCTGCTCAAGGCTAGTGATCTACTGAAGTGAAGATGCTGAATCTAACTGGCACCATCTTGGCCACGTGTTGGATGATAGAGAATTGGGTTTAGCTGGTGCCATCTTGTCTTCATGGTGGAAGCAGGGAAGTCTCTTGAATGCTTAGAGGCAGTGTTGGGCTGCCTGTCTTGGGTCTTAAGGTCCCAGTGACCTTGAGCCCTGACCTGACCCTATTTAGGCCCAGATCAGCTCAGGCGCCATTACACCATGCCTCGTGTCCTGTGTTATGTCAGTCACCATGGCATCCCACTTCTGCTCTCCATTGGAGCTGACCTGGTTTGTTGGTATGCTTTTTCTTCTCTTTCTTTCCTCCCCTGCTCTCAAGGCTCATTTTTCTGAGAGTGTTAAGTATATTTGTGGGGCTCCAGGTCTATATGACAAGAGTCTGCCTGCAGCCGCTGTCCTTCTAATAAAGATTCCCAATTTGATTTCTCAAAATGTGGGTTCTCTGTTTTCTCGCATATAACACTACCCACTTTGGGCCACAGCTTCACTTCCGGTTTTCTGGTGGTTCATTGGAGATAAGAGTCTCATGGATTTTCCTGCATGGGCTGGCTTTGAACCATGATCCTCAGATCTCAGCCTCTTGAGTAGCTGGGATTACAAGTGTGAGCCACCAGCCTCTGGCTGGACTCAGATTCTTCAACCCCAGCCCAGCCCCATCCTGTTTGCTCCAGCAACCTGCAATAGCTGCTCAGGACTCTGCACAGCCCCCTCTCCCACTCCTAGGCTGTGCACTTGAGCAACATGCATGGCATCTCTAGGCCTGGAAACCATCCTCAACCTCACACCAGCATCACCACCAACCCGAGGTGGTCACAGCCTACCTTGCACAGGCGTCTGGTAGACGTCACAGTAGCCCTCCAGCCTCTGAGCCTCAGGGGCCTGGCCACACAGGGAGCTGTCCACCGCATCGTGTAGGCTGAACTGGGTGGTGGGGTAGGCACAGTAACACTCCCAGCCCCGGAGCACGGCCAGGGGGAATTCCTGCAGGGAAGAGAGGCACAGGTGAGGGAGGTGTACAGATATGGTATTGGACACGATGGAGGGAATGACTCCCTGTTACGTTGCCAACAGAGATGACCACTGTCCTTCCAAACCCAGGGGTGACCAGGCTCTGCTGGGAGCCCACAGTGGCTTTGTGGCCAGTGCATGTGGCTATGGCAGAGGGCGGCTGAGTGCAGGAAGCCAAAAGGGAGCCTGGGATTGAATATAGGAGCAGTCGGCACCCTCGGCCCAGCCTCCCTAGAAAAAGACCAAAGCTGTACCTTGGTCTGGCAGTGGCACTTCCGGATAGAGACAGATCACCAGGTCACCTTCCCACAGATGGAAGGGGTGGGAAAGTGTAGAAATGGCTCCCAGCCTGGAAGGTTCAGTCTGGTGCCTTCAGATGGGGCTTCCCAATGGGAGTAGGGTGACCACCAGGCCAGGGCAGGGGTCATCTCTTAGTGGGACCTGCCTCTCCTGCAGAGCAGCTGCTCTACAGAGCAGAGAGCTGAGATCTCTACATGAGCTCTGCTCACTTGTGGTACCACCTGGGGCAGGAATCATGTTTGAAAGGGGATCAAAGTCCAGCTTGAATGTTCATGGTGCTGAATAATTGAAGTGAGGACCAAGTGACCAGCCTCGGGCTGGCACATAGGAAGTGCTACCCAGAGAGTTGGCTATTCTCAGTCTCCTTACTCTATTGGGCATCAGCTAGAGTTGTCTTCAAATGCACTCAGCCATTTCCTTCCCACCTCAACCCCCCCCACACCACCACAGATTTCCAAGCACCCACTCTGCACCAGGCAAGGGATTCACCCAGCCCCATTTCATCTCTGTCCTCCCTGGGTCCCCTGGTCCTGAGATGCCAGCCTCCTGCCAGCTTCCTGGAGCTCAGAGATGACAGAGTAGTGGGAGGAGGGAGGCAGTGGGCGGAGGAAAGCTCTCAGTGCAAAGGAAAACGTTGCACAAACCTTTTCATTTTTTGCCCACAGCAAGCAATCTCATAAATAAATAAGGAAAATCAATAGTGTTTCCTGTGTGTGGCTAGGGGAAGCGGAGAATCTCAGCATTTATGTAAGATGGGAGAGCGTCCCAGCCAAGGGAGAGTGATGCCGGGCCTGTGGAGGGGGTGCTGAGGGATGATACCCCCTCTCCCCGTGTTCCTGAGTTCAGACCCCATCCACTCCTTGCATCCAGCAGCCTGGGGAACATGCCAGAACTTTCCCATCTCTCTTCAGATTGTGGCTGCTGCAATGGGTGCAGAGGAGCCCAGGGGCAGACAAGCCGATCGCCATGTCTAGCCAGTCCCTAGGCCATTTCTTTACTTCTTCTAATAAGTATCATTTACTTTGTTGTTATTATACAAGTGACATGCAGAGGGATTACAATGACACGAGTCAGGTAAGGAGTACATTTCCTTTGGTCCAGGGTCTTCTGTTCCCTCGTTCTCTTCCAGTCCCTCCCTCCAGTCTCCACCCACAAGTTGTATAGTTCACTTTCATGTGTCCAGTACTCTCCCCTCAAGTTCTTTGCCCTCCCCCCAAACCCTTCTGAAGACATACACGTGAGCACACCATACATAGAAAAGTTAAAATTAAAAAAAGAGAAATCTTGTCTCCATATCTTGGAGTTTGTTTCGATATATATGTTATTTTATATAAATATAAAGAGGAAAGCAGACATCATGCCTTTGTGTTTCTCTCCTAAGAGTTTCCTCCTTTGGTCTCACTGTGTGTGAGTATCGAGAATCCTGTATAATTTATCATATCCCTGTGTATTTTAGATCGGATTTCTGCATATTAGAGAGAACATGCATCGTTTTTCTCTCTGATCTCGGCTCACCTCACTTAACGTGATTTGTTCCAGTTCTATCCATTTCCCTGCAGATGACATAATATTATTCTTTTTAACGGCTGTGTAAAATTCCATTCTATATAGGTACCACGTTTTTTTTGGATCTACTTGTCTATTGTGGGCACCTGGGCTGTTTCCATATCTTGGCTATTGTGAATAGCGTGGCAATGAACATGGATGTGCAGGTATCCTCACCATATCCTGGCTTGTGATGCCAAGCAGTGGTATGGCAGGGTCATAGGGAAGGTCTAGGTTTAGGCACTCAGGCCATTTCCTAACACAAAGCCGGATCTGTGGTCTGACCTCAATCCGGTCACAGCTGGCTTTGTTGGAAGTGAGTTTTCCCTCTGGTGTGAGCTGGTGGAGAGCAATCCGATCCTGAGAACAGGACAGCTCCATTCAGCCCTAGAGAAGCTGTGTCCATCCATGGCAGACCCCAGCTTCATTCTGGTACCCTGCTCAGCATCCTGCTTGGCAGGTAAGAGTGGTACAGGTGAGCCTCCCATACTCCTGTCCATGTTGACTGTGTCATCCACCAAGCTCATAGGTTTAAGTACGAACCCCAGGTCTCAGAATGAGAAGTTATTTGACAATAGTCTTCACAAAGTTAATGGAAGGAAATCCATGGGTGCAGACCTCATCCGACGTGAGCAGATTTCTCTCGGAAGGGGAGGGGAGGACATACAGCTCACAGACCTAGGGACAGCCCAGCAAGGAGGCGAAGGCCAAGTGGAGAAACCAACCCTGCCAACACTATGTTCCTGGAGGGCTTCAGCCTCCAGAACTGATGGCAAGGAAACGTTAGCTATGTAAGCCAGCCACTCAGTGGCACTAGATCTTACAGCGGCCTGAGCCGTCTATGACAATGACTCTCTTGCTGGTCCCTGACCATACGAGTCAGGTCTCTGCCTCAGGGCCTTTGCACTCACAGCTCTATCTGCTCTCTCAAGTCACCCTCTCAGTGAGAAGCCTTCTTCCCTGGCCAGACGTTTTCAGTGGCAGTGCCCTGTCTACCTTCATGAACACATGATTCCTCTGCTTCCTTTCTAACTGTAATAACTCCTAGGATGCAACGGCCCCAAATGTGTTAATGAATGTATGTTCGGACATGCAGCACTTCTGGTCTTGGGGGGGGGAGGGAGCTGTCCTTCCCTTTATCAGCATCCCTCCCTCACCCAAGGCACCCACTGTTCTGATTTATAGTCTAGAATCTCACATAAAGAGATTTGGGGGGGGTATTTTTGAATACCTAGCTTCTTTCATTCAGAAAAAAAAAACATGCTTTAAACCTCCAAGTTGTTTCCTATTTCAGGTGAGCATTCCTTTCCATTTCCGTATAGTATTCTGGATGGTGCCTGGCTATATGTTGATTCATCCTTGCTGCTGGACATCGGGCCAGTTTCTAGTTTTGAGCCATTGTAAATAAGAGGCAGTCTTGCATTTATTCTCTCGTGGAACAAACGCTTTCATTTCTCACAAGTAGCCACCTATATTTTTTTCTGCATTCTCTCTAAGCCCCTAGTCACCATACAACCCATTCTATATGATCTTGCTCTGTCATCTGCCCAGGTCCACAAGAATTTAAGTGTATCTGTTCAACTAATGATGGATGGGTGAACAAATGAGTGAATGGACCCTTCTAGACCCTGAGCCCTCCAATGCCATGGGCTGCACACCATGGTAAGACCTCTCCACTGGCTATGGGTCAAAAATATCTGTGGGCATATGAGCTTGGAGAAGCCCGCTCCGTCTGAGCTAGTGATCCTGCCCAGTACCCAGAGGACAGCCCTTCCCAGCACATGGAGCCTGCTGGAGAGATGCTAGCCAGTCCCCTCCCCACGGCCACAGCCCTGCTCACACTCTCAGTCTCAGGTCTCAGGGTGGCAGGCAGGCTGCCCCCATCAGTGACCTGAGCCCTCTTGCTTCTTTGAGTAGATTAAACTGTCAAGTTTCCGGGTGTCTGCAGAGCGACGGGAGAGCTGCAGACAGTAATGTGGTTTTATTTACAACATAACCACTTCAGCAACATCGCTGGGTTCTGAAAACACAGAACGATTTTCAGCCCCTTGGGGATTTCTAGGACATGATTTCCATAAAAAATTAAATATTGATGAATCTTATCTCTCTGCCAACTTCGCAGCTCTCCCTAAGCTCCCCCTCCTACTCCACGCTTCAATGAGAGAAAAAGAAAGAGGACAGAGAGGCGGCGGGGGGCGGGGGGAGGTGTGCAGAGAGAGGATGCGGGTCTGAGGTGGATCAGCTTATATCTGGAGCTGATCCTGCATAAAACTGACACACTCAGCCTGGGCTGGGCTGTCTGGAATGGGGATGAAGTGGGGAGCAGCAAGGGCAGGGCTCTGCTTGGTAGGGGTGAGGAACTCCCACACAAAGGCTCAGCCTGTAGCCCCAGGACCACAGTATACACAGATCATTCAGCCTGGAATAAACCCAAGTTGTCTATCTTTCTTCAACCACCATTCTTAGATCTCTAGAAAGGTATAAAATTTCACAGGTATCAGAGATCACAGGAGGGGAAACCGAGGCTCAGCGGCAGGAAGCCAACAGGTTTCTGTCTCTTGCCTGGCAGATGAATGGGCATAGAAACCAGCCTTCTGGACCCAAGCATGGGCCTATGCTCCCCCACCCCCTACCCCATGCCTTGTGTGAAGCTGGCACTCCAGTCTCCTTCCGTGGATCTGGCTCACAGTGCCTGGGCCCCTGAGACACTTTTTTTTGGCAAGGGGGGGGCCTGAAAAAGGGCCCGGGGAACGGCCCCGAACCAATTTTGCTCAAGGTTAGTGCTCTACCACTTTAAGCCACAGCACCACTTCTGGTTTTCTGGTGGTTATTTAGAGATAAGCTTCTCACAGACTTTCCTGCCTAGGCTGGCTTTGAACCACAATCCTCAGATCTCAGCTTCCTGAGTAGCTAGGATGAGGTGTGAGCCACCAGTGCCCCATTCTCTGCTCCACTCTTAATAGATGCTGGGCTACCAGTTCTATGGAGAAGAGAAAGGGCTTGGAGTAAAGGTCAGGGTCTCCAGAGCCTGGCAAGTGGTCCCTCTTGCATGGAAAGCTTTGGTAGACATGAGCAGGAGACAGCAGACACTAGACCAAACCTAGTCCCCGCCCCCCACTATCCTGTCA